CTCCTTCCTCTAGGGCGACTCTCTCCAGGACATCCTGCGATCAATTTACTGGTCCCAGGGGGACACTTTCCGACATTTTTACTTCAAATCGACGAATCATGTTTCCTTTGCTGTGCTGTTTGAGCGTTAAAACCGCAAATATGAAGCCTCCTTTCATGTTATAAAATTGTAGATTATAATAGCTTTAGTGTAACTATAATCTTAATTTTATTAATGACAGATGAATATTACCCTCCCATTTCACCCTACCCTTGTTAATTTTGTTTGTTTTATTTGATCACCTCTAGTTGATAGTTTGTTCTTCAGAATTAGGACTAGGTAGGTCAGTGGTTTTGCCTTCCTGAGGGGAGTAGGGTTGAGACTATACAGATATTGTACTGTCTCTAGTTGATTTTGGGGTCTTCATGTTTTCACAGTACGTTTCGTTCACTAACCAGAGCTCTTGTCTCTGTTTATCTTGTTTCAGTTTAATGATTCGTCTACAGATCCACGTTCAAGACCTTCATCTGGATTAAGTTTAATGGTTCATCTACCTATCCAGGTTCGGTTTCGGGTTCTGGATGAAGGTTAGCAGTTGATTTTGTTTGATTTCTTCTTCTACTACTAGATGGATATGTTTGTTTCCTGTTCTTTGTTTTGTCGCAGCTTGAAAGAGGAAATAGCTGGTTTGGAGAAGACCTTTTATTGATTCTTACTTTTTTCTGATTGGTTATTTTTTCTCTGTGTTAATTTGCTGCTGTGGAGTTCTAGTAAAGAGAGACTTAAGCAAATATTTGCTTCCTGTTATTAATAAAATTCAGATTATAGTTACACTAAAGCTAGTATAATCTACAATTAATTTTCTCATGGAAATTCTTGCAATAATTACTTTGAGTACTTTTGAATATTTTTTTTATATTGCATTTCATTTTATTAATTACATTATTTATAAAATCTTTAGAGTGTATGACCAAACTTCATTGTAAAATCCTGCAAGACCTTATTTATTGAAATTATTCAGATTTAATTTTTACATGTTTCCAACATTTTTACTGGTAGGATTTTTTTTCAGTCATTCCAATCATTTAACTTATATCACTCTCCTGTGTTATTTCTCATTAGATAGTAAATAATCACATTTTGTCATTTTTTTTTATATATTGATATATTTTATACAAATCTACTAGGTCTCTAGATATACAGACAATTCCACTATGAATTTTCCATGCAGAATAGTAGGGTTTAGTAGAATTTGGTACTGCTCACCTTGTTTTAATTGTGTGTCTCCCTTAATGCAACTTTCCACATGCCCTGTCTTTCAGATATTGGATTACTGATATTATAATTTTCAAGTCCCTCTAGCCATGTAAAATCACTACTGTCTTACTATGCCCCGAAGTCACAGATAACAGCAATAAACAGCCTGAATGTGTGAAACCGTGGTGGGTGGGTAAAACAAGATTAACCAGTTGGTACAGTTTTTGCACTGTGTGAGTTTTACTATATTATCTTTGCATTTATTTAGTTGTTTTTATAGTAAGTATTCATCAATTTCAATTACTTTCTATTGAAATACTCATTTCAAAAGCAAAAATATATTGACCATCATATATCAGTTATAGTTCCTCAAATTAATTATTCAATTGCTTTCATTAAAATCTAACTTGGTATCAAAAACTTTATGATCACCTTAGGTAAATCATCCCTTTAAACGAGGATACTGTTCTAAAAAATCTGAATATATCACACAGACCAAAGACCAGAAAGTTAAAATATTATATTGATCCAGTGCTAAAATAGACTACAAAGCATTTGTCTTAAATACCATTCTTAGCTTTAAAGGGTTAAAGGTTTACTCCAAGCATCATAACTACCGTAGATCACTGTACCAAGCCATTGAAGCTGTACGCTAATCCTGCCATTTATTCATTGACTAAGAGGATCAGCGTTACCGGAGTACTCCATTGCCTAACTTCTGCCAGTACAGACACCACTGACCATATTTCCATCATCGAGCCTTCTTCTTTTAATAGAAATCATCATTAACTTAGTGAAAACATAAAAAAACTGTGTCCATCAATTAACATTGTTAACACAATGAAATTTTTTTGAGGATAATCAGTATTTTTTTTTAGGATTAGTCTCTAAGTAGGGAAATTAGTGGGAAGCATGAGATGCTGCAATGTGAAATATGAAGGTTAGTGGTAAGTCCATGAAATACAATGACTCGGTTGTTTAGCCTTATTCTTCATAAAATTGTATTTGCACCAGCTCATGCTGTCCACTTTCTACTTTATTCATTGACTATTGGATTGTCTGTGGTCCCCTAGCTGAAGAGAACCAGTGATGAACAAGGGGCATATGGGATGCCTGAATGCAGCCTGGTAGACATGTGCAATTCATTTTGGGACGAATATGAATTCGGATGAATTTCGGGCAATTCGGACATTCAGGTACTTCCGAATGTCCGAATGTCCGAAGTTGCCGAAGCACAGTATTGCCTAAGTACTAATATACTTACCCAGTGGAAGAAGAATAATGTTACACTGTATACTATTTTAAATAAAAAGTATACAAACATGGCCAGGATTCAGCTGTAATCGTTTGCAACACTTACAACAATCAAGTAACACACATTCATATAAAATGTAAGTTACTTGGCCAGTCAATGTAATGACAGGAATGAATAAGTAGATAACTCCCTAATTCTCACGGTATTAGGGAGTTATTTACTAAAAGGCTGAAAGACCTAAATTGGTCTTTCAGCCAAATTTACTAATACTAAGCAGTGGCTGCTCACTGTTAAAAAAACAAACAAAAAAAAACACGTCCCCCCCCCCCTAACCTGAAGGGGGGACCTATTGCCCCCACCCCTGAATGGTGGGTGGGGACCCTAAAGTAAAATAAGGGGGGACCTATTGTCCTCCCCCCAGGCCCCACCCATAAGCGATGGGTGTGGGCCCTAAATCAGAATAAGTGGGGGGACTAATGTCCTCCCCCCAGCCCCCACCCTTGAGTGGTGGGTGGGGGCCCTAAGTTAGAATGAGGGGGAGGACCTAATGTCCTCTCCCTGGCCCCCACCCCTGTGTGATGGGTGTGGGCAATAAATTAGAATGAGGTGGGAGGACCTAATGTCCTCCATCCTGACCCCCACCACTGAGCAGTGGGTGGGGGCCCTAAATACTAATTGTCCTCCCCCCTGTCCCACACCCCTGAGCAGTGGATGGGGGCCCTAAATACAAATTGGGGGGGACCTTATGTCCTCCCCCCGGGCCCCACCCATAAGCGATGGGTGGGGGCCCTAAATCAGAATAAGTGGGGGGACTAATGTCCTCCCCCCGGCCCCCACCCCTGAGTGGTGGGAGGGGGCCCTAAGTTAGAATGAGGGGGAGGACCTAATGTCCTCCCCCTGGCCCCCACCCCTGTGTGATGGGTGGGGGCAATAAATTAGAATGAGGTGGGAGGACCTAATGTCCTCCATCCTGACCCCCACCACTGAGCAGTGGGTGGGGGCCCTAAATACTAATTGTCCTCCCCCCTGTCCCACACCCCTGAGCAGTGGATGGGGGCCCTAAATACGAATTGGGGGGGGACCTTATGTCCTCCCCCTGGCCCCCACCCCTGAGCGGTGGGTGGGGGCCCTAAATAAAAAAAATTAACCCCCCTCCCCCGGGTGACTAGGGGTGCCCAAACTCCTAGTCACCCCTCTCCCCCAAAAAAATTATCACCTACCTACCCCCCCTCATCCTATAAATAATGAGGGGTGATCATTTAACTAAGTACCGGGGGGAAAAAAAAACCATACCATTTGATGTTTTCTTTCTTTTAAAATCTTTTTCAGCCCCAAAAAAGGCCAAATAAAAAGCCATAATAACTGACGGAAAAAAAAACGAGCGCATCCAATAAGCCATCCAATCAGAGTGCTCTGACAGGTAAATGAAGAAGAGATTGACAGGTAAGTCTCTACATTTACCTGTCACAGCACTCTGGTTGGTTTGAAATCCACCAATCAGAGTGCTCTGTCATATTACACAGCGTGGGAAAGTTCTTTGGAATTTTCCCACGCTGTGTAATTTGACTCATAACTCTCTGGTGGATTAAGTAATCAGAGTGTTACGAGTCAAATTACACAGCATGGGTCAAACCAACCAATCAGAGTGCTGAGACAGGTAAATGTAGAGACTTAAGAAAAGAAAGTTACCTGCACTCTCTCCTTAATCCCTATGTATGGAGAGCAAAAAATGGGTAGCAAGAGTATTCTGAGAACGGACAGCAGCTAAAATAGACTGCCCTTCGGTGGGTCCCTGCTCAGAACTTAAGCTGGTTTTGTGCTCATCTTGTGCCATTACAGAGAGAACATATCTGAAGCATATCAGACTGGTCTCACCCATACGGGCAGTCCAGATCCGAAATGCCAGCAAGTTCTCTCTGCACGAGAGATACAGCAACCTCAGACGATCGTTTCAGCCTTGTTAGGCATCATCAGTGAGGCATAGCTGATATCTCTCTAGGCACCTAGAGATTTTTTTTTGGGGGGTGACTAGTGGTTTGGGGACCCCTAGTCTCCCGTGGGGGGGTAATTTTTTTTATTTAGGGCCCCCACCCGCTGCTCAGGGGGGAGGACATTAGGTGCATTCACTTACATTTTCAGAATCAGCATACTCCATATACACACATACGTGAGCAAGGGGTCCACGTCTGGATTACCGTTTAAACTTATGGAGAACAAAAAACAGTGCCAACATCAAGGCAGACCCCCCTAAGCGGATCCTAACACTGACCCTTCAGCCTGCTTCCTTGAGCTTCTGGCAAAGATATCTCTAATGAGACTTATTAAATACTTATTAGGGAACACATGGGATGGGATGGGCGGCAGCATTGTAACAAGGCTGTGTGATACAAAGTAAATACAAATACAAAAAGAGAAGTCCTGCGCTCACTCCCATCACTACTGGGCCAGCAGCAATGACTACAGTACACATCAGCCCCAATATATAGTAAAAACCAAAGAAAAGCAAGTTACCTGTGCTCTCTCCTTAATCCCTATGTATATTTATGTATGGCCATTGGAGCAACTAAATGACCTCCATTTGTCTAAATATACATAGGGATTAAGGAGAGAGCGCAGGTAACTTTTTTCTTTTCTTTGGTTTTTACTGTATATTGGGGCCGATGTGTACTGTAGTAATTGCTGCCGGCCCAGTAGTGATGGGAGTGAGCGCAGGACTTCTCTCTTTGTAAATGTAGAGACTTACCTGTCAGTATCTTCATTTACCTGTCAGAGCACTCTGATTGGATGGCTTAAACCCACCAATCAGAGTGCTCTGAGCCTAATTGCAGGGCGAGGCAAGGCTTTATAAGCTCAGTCTGTGCGCAGCCCTCCATGGGTGAAGATGGATTATTATTTTTTTGCTCTCGTTTATTTTTTGTTTTTGTTTTTTTTAAGTGAGTCGGTTATTATGGCTTTTTATTTGGTCTTTTTGGGGGCTGAAAAAAGAAGAGTTTAGAAGAAAGAAAACATCAAATGTTTTTTTTTTCAGGTACTTAGTTAAATGGCCCCCCCTCATTATTTTTAGGGTGAGGGGTAGGTAGGGGATAATTTTTTTTTTGGGGGGTGACTAGTGGTTTGGGGACCCCTAGTCACCCGTGGGGGGTAATTTTTTTTATTTAGGGCCCCCACCCGCTGCTCAGGGGGGAGGACATTAGGTGCATTCACTTACATTTTCAGAATCAGCATACTCCATATACACACATACGTCAAAATCATACAAATTGGTCCAGTGGGTCAAAAGTTAAACGTCCTTTGTGACCAAATGAAGCATGGCTTTTCTGCCCAAAACCAGTTCCACAGAGTCTTCTATCCTGGAGATAATTGGGAAGTAATCCAATTCAACCATTCATAACTCCCCCTGCCCTATCCTTTTCTTCTTTTGAAGTTCACACTGTCCGCCTATTTAAACCCACTCCTTTAAGAATTGCTATCATCTACCCCCCGGTTATCCTAGACTATTCATTGAGCACTTTTCTTCCTGGCTTCCCCACTTCCTCTCATCTAGCACTCCTTCCCTTATACTTGGGGATTCCAATCAATAACCCCAATTGCACTGATGCCTCTCGTCTGCTCTCTGTAACCTCCTCCTTTGGCCTTACGCAATGGTACAATTTAGCAACCCATACAGCAGGAAACACTCTTGATCTTGCCTTCACCAACCTCTGTACTGCCTCTAATCTCTCCAATATTCATTTTCCTCTATCTGACCACCATCTGCTGACTTTTGACATTGGCATACCTAAGACCCAATTGACACCACTGTCTGAACATCCCTCTCACAGAAACCTCCAATGTCTTGACCTAGATCATTTCTCCACTAATCTCCAAACTCTCCTTTTACCTATCTCAAACCTCACCTGTCCTACTTCTGCAACCTCCTTCTACAATTCCACCCTCTCCTCTCAACTAGACATCATGGCACCTTGTACATTTAAACGCCACAGGCCCCCCCAACAACAACCCTGGCTCACCAAGCTCACTCGATACCTCCAAAAATACTCCAGAACTGCTTAATGCTGTTGGAGAAAGTCTCACTGTGCATCTGACTTTCTCCACTATAAATTTATGCTGAGCTCATACAGCTTGGCTCTTTCCTCTGCAAAAGTTAATTACTTCAATACCCTCATAATCACACTCTCCCGCGAACCCAAACGACTATTTCACACATTCAACTCTCTTCTTCGTCCTGCTGTTCCTCCTCCACCTACTAACTTGACCGCCTCAGACTTTGCAACTCACTTCACTGACAAGATCTCTACAATCAGAGAAGAGATCTCTCATCTTTCTTCTTCCCCTTACAATACTTCCCCTAACTTCACTCCCTCTGCTGTTCTATGTTCATTCGCACACACTACATTGGAAGAGGTTTCTGCTCTGCTTCAGTCCTCCTGCCCCACCACCTGCTCCCTAGATCCAATTCCCTCGCATCTCATCCATACTGTCTGATTCTCTATCTCCATCACTCACTGAAATTCTCAATCTCTCTCTCTCTCTCCTCTGGTATATTTCCATTGCCCTTCAAACATGCAACTGTAACCCCAATTCTAAAGAAGCCCAATCTTGACCCTAACTCCCCATCCAACTATCGTCCTATCTCACTACTGCCTTTTGCATCCAAGATCCTTGAAAAAATTGTGTATGCGAGATTGACAGACTTCCTCGAGTCCAACTCTCTGCTAGACCCACTTCAGTCTGGTTTCCGCGCTAAGCACTCTGTGGAAACGGCACTGACCAAAGTATCCAATGATCTACTCGCTGCAAAATCTCGTGGTCACTACTCTATCCTAATTCTCCTTTACCTGTCTGCGGCTTTTGACACTGTTGATTATAAACAGCTTCTTCTCATCCTCCGCAATATTGGTCTATAAGATATTGCTCTCTCCTGGTGCTTCTCCTACCTCTCCAAGTGCTCTTTCAGTGTTTCTTTCTCTGGCTCTGCTTCTTCTTCCCAACTCCTCTCTGTTGGTGTCCCCCAAGGTTCAGTCCTCGGTCCCCTACTGTTCTCCATCTATACTGCCTCCATCTATACTAGCTCCTTTGGCTTCCAATATCATTTCTATTCAGATGACACACAAATCTACCTGTCCTCTCCTGATCTCTCCCCGTCCCTCTTGACTAGTGTCTCTGACTGCCTATCTGCTGTTTCTAACTGGATGGCTGCCCACTTCCTTAAACTAAACTTGACCAAAACTGAAATTCTGGTCTTTCCTCCCTCAAGTGTTGTTACTCCTGTGTCTGTCTCCCTCCAAGTCAATGGTGCTACCATCAGCTCCACCATGTAGGCTCGCTGCCTAGGTGTTCTCTTTGACTGCGACCTCTCCTTCAAGCCTCATGTTCAATCTATGGCCAAATCCTGTCATTTCCAACTCAAAAACATTGCGCGCATCCGCCCCTACTTAACGCCAGATGCGACTAAGGAGTTGGTCCATTCCACTGTCCTTTCTCGCCTTGACTACTGTAATCTGCTTCTCAGTGGTCTTACGTGCTCCCAACTTGCGCCATTACAGTACATAATGAATGCGGCGGCGAGGCTCATCTTCCTGTCCGCCTGCACCTCCCATGCCTCACCCTTCTGTCAGTTCCTACATTGGCTTCCTATAAAATATAGAGCTCAATTTAAAATTCTGGTTCTTGCTTTCAAATCTCTACATAATGCTGCTCCCACCTATCTATCCTACCTTATACACAAGTATGTCCCGTCTAGGCCCTTACGATCTGCTGAAGACTTACGTCTATCTTCTGTCCGTACTCCCACCTCTGATACTTGCCTTCAAGATTTCTTGAGGGCTGCACCTTTCCTGTGGAACTCGCTTCCCTCCTCCGTTAGATGCTCACCCAGTCTCCACTCCTTCAAAAAATCATTAAAAACCCACTTCTTCATAAAAGCGTATCAATTAAACTGTTAATAGCTACTGACTGATTCCTCTTCTGCAACTGTCACTAGTCTAATACTATCTCTACCTTTTTGTGTCATTTTACCCCACTCCCTCTAGCATGTAAGCTCATTGAGCAGGGCCCTCAACCCCTCTGTTCCTGTGTGTCCAACTTGTCTGGTTACAACTACATGTCTGTTCGTCCACCCATTGTAAAGAGCTGCAGAATTTGAAGGCGCTCTATAAATATCATAATAATAATCTCCAAGGACAGAGGCAAAACTCCATTAGCCACATGGTAGCAAAATACATAAAAATATATAACTGTGCAGCTATTGCATAAAATGGGTACATTCAACATATTCCCAGATAGCTTAGATCTGAGCGCACATTATTACTGAATGGCGCTCAGATAACATGCATACAGTTGTGCCATGGAGCCAAAGTCTTTCACATAGTCTTTCGTTATACAAATGGGCTCCATGGCATAGCTATCTGGGATAACACTGCTCACATAGGGAAAGTACCGAATGACCTGGCTTTCGTGTCTTTGCAGGGGAAAATCAAGCATTTCAACATGGGGCCATAGTCACAGGGCAGGAGGCTGGCAATCAGTCTTCTCCAATGCCCAGTAGCGAGGCTGGTTCCGCCATACTACCTTTTTTACACCAAGCAGATATATGGCAAATACAAATCTAAAGTCTGAACGTTACACTTAATTGGCCAAAGATTCCCTATTAGAATTCATTGTTTTCGTAAAGTTAATACTACACATGTTAAAACAGGTTCAGCTTTTGAGTTTTATAAAAACAAGCTATTAGACATAGCAGTTGTAACATGGGCAGAAGATGGAGAGACAGAATAAATTTAGAAAATATTTGCAAATTCTCTTTTAAATTTGTAATAAATGAAAGTTCATTACATATTACTTTAATTACATTATAAATGTATTTTTTCTTTTTTGTGATTTAGGATCTGTGAGGTGGTAACCATACTTGGCAACTTTACCTTTAATTAAAACAAAAAGTTGTATGAAAATTCATCTGTTAATAGAAATATGCATTGGTTTCAGTCTCATTTGTGTGTGTATAGAGATGAACGTAGCTTCGTATAGGTTTATTTTCCTGGTCACCCCTTCTTCAGTGTATAAATACTGCTATCTATCCATGTGCAAGTAATATAGAAACAGAGATATAAACCTTTCATATAATGATCATGGAGCTGCCCAAGGTTCTAGTGCTGTTTGCAGCTTCATGGACCATTTCCTTGGCTTTACCTGTACCGATAAGTTCATGGCTTTTGGAAACTGAAGTTCAGATGTATGTTCACTGTCCTAAATTCTTAGTCTTCTTTGTACTTGTATCCTGTCTGTGTGAGAGAGAAAAGCTTTGGTGGGATTAAATAAATAGGGTTGACTATCATTATACTGACAGCATTATTGTCTATTTGTTTTCCAACAGGTATATAATGGTACAGTTCCTGGTAAGTATTGCATTAATATCTATAGCTATCCTATTTGAATAAAACATGAATCACTATTTTAGATGATGTTAGAATATATTATGATTCTGTTTGGTTATAAGTAGAGTTGAGCGGACACCTGGGTGTTTGGGTTTGGCCGAACTTTGAAAAAAAATCTGGGTTTGTGATGGAACTTGACCCCGAACCCCATTGAAGTCAATGAGGACACGAACTTTTGGCCAC